TGAGAGATTTCTATGGATATTTGAGAGATTTCTGTGGATATTTGAGACATTTCTATGGATTCATGAGCTTCCCCTCTGAGGTGAGATATTTTTATGGATATTTGAGGATTGATGAAATCCCCTCTCAGTCTTCTCCAGCCCAAACAGGTCCCCAACTCCCTGCAGCCTCCCAGCCCTGCTCTGGCTTTGCAGGGCACTTCCTCAACACCATTTTACTCACCCTAAATGACCTTTTTTTACCAAAAATCAGCTGCTGCTCCTCCTGCCCGGGGTTCCCAAAACCCCGACCTCGGAATGCGGGTCCCACCTCCCTCCCCAGCCCAGCCCAGCCCCTTCCCTTTCCCTGCCCTGCTGCTCCAGGGTCACTTCAGAGGCGCTGAACCTCCTCCAGGTGGTTTGGGGATGGCAAAAACCCCTCGGTGACAACTTCCCCTGGGGAGGATTTTGGGGCAAAAATCACGTTTTTGCTCAGTGGGTTTTTTTTTCGGCTCTTCCCTGTGACCTGGGGGGGATTTTTTCTGGGGGGGCTGAGTGAGGTGGGGGCTGCCCCTTCCCCCAGGGAGGTTGAGGTGGAGTCCCCACCTCTGATAGAGCTCTGGCTGTGACCTGGGCTGGGAAAACATCCCCGTGGGACTCTTGTTCGGGAAAAGCAGAGGCTGAAATGAGATGCCCCAGGGAGGGTTTAGGGTTGTTTCTCACCCCCTTTTTCCCCCAAAACCACTCAAACTGTGTGACACCCCTCTGTGGGGTCACAGGAGCTGCAGAGCCAAGGGTCTGCCTCCCTGCCAGGCTCCACGAGGCCACCAGAGACATTTTTAGGGCTTTTAGGTGGCCCCAAACTGTCCCTCCTCTCCCGTGGTGATAAAGGGGCTGCCTCCCCATTTGGGAGCCATTTTTGGGGCTTTTTCTCACACCCTCAGCAGGTTTTGAGCTGCCTGGTGCAGCCTCGAGCTGCTTCAGAGCGGGAGGAACATTTCCCACCTCATTTCCTGGGATGTTTTCCCCGTGAAACTCTCGCTTGGGAAAAGCAGAGGCTGAAATGAGACACCCCAGGGGGAGGGTTAGGCTTTTTTCTCACCTCCTTTTTTCCCCAAAACCACTTCCACTGGAGCTGCAGAGCCCTGTGACCAAGGGTCTGCCTCCCTGCCAGGCTCCACGAGGCCACCAGAGACATTTTTAGGGCTTTTAGGTGGCCCCAAACTGTCCCTCCTCTCACGTGGTAATAAAGGGGCTGCCTCCCCATTTGGGAGCCATTTTTGGGGCTTTTTCTCACTCCCTCACCAGGTTTTGAGCTGCCTGGTGCAGCCTCGAGCTGCTTCAGAGCAGGAGGAACATTTCCCACCTCGTTTTTCCTGCTGAAACCACCCCAAAATTTCAGCAGCTCCTTCTGCTCCGCTCTGGGCTGACCCAGGACCCCTCTCCTCTCTCTAATCCCCCCCCCAGACGGTGCCAGGCCGAGGATGGAGCTGCTCGTGCTGCTG